CATTAGCTAGCCAGAGATACAGGAAAGAGAAAGTCTATCGGTTAAGCCCAGTTGAAGCTTGTTATCCACCATCAGAGCATGTGGAGGGAAAGTGGTTTGTAATGCTCACAACAAAGCAAGACTTTTCTGTAAGCAATCCACTTTGAAGCTTGCTGTTTCACAAGGTACTATCTCCTTTATATCTGAGAAAGTTACTGCTTATGAAGGCTGCTTATGCTAGGCCAAATGGGTTTATTAGTGATAAACCCTTCCCTTTGATTTGTCAGTGCTTTGAGTAATACACACTAATCCTGTCGGGCACTTTGAGGTGATTCTCCAGGCATACATATTAATGCAGTAAACCCGAGAGGCAGGCTTGCTCTTGAGGGGGCAATACCAAAGGGACTCCTGAGAACTAATGGTATTTAGATATAATAATGTGCTGCTGACAAGTAAAAATCAATAGCTGAGAATGAGGCTTAAAGTGAGAGGAAACATGTTATTGATGCACACTCTCTCCCTTTTCTTGTTATAATTCTATCCCGATTTCCCAGCCCTTTCCTTTAGTAAGCTTAATCAGTTCTCCCAGCATTGATTTTCACTGCATTGCAGATTATAGTCACCTGGGCAAACTGTTTACTGAGGGAAAGGCTGTCTGGGCACAAGGGAGGTGCATTACATGTGGTGTGCAGGTTCTGGGTTTGAATTTGGCAGTCTCTGAAGGAGCAGAGGGTAATAGCTGGACACTGGGTTGAGAAGAAGTAGCTACAAATGGAAGCAGAAAGCTGGTGGATACTGCAGGTATCAAATCAGGTTTACCAAACCTTGTCAACATCTTTCTGCTTGTACCTCTTAAGTTATCTGGAGATGCAAAGGCACGTTTTAATGTGTGGGTTTTGGTTTTGGACCTTTCTTGATAGATTTATTCTTAACTAAAACTGTTGAATACTTTCTTATACTTGGATTTGATTTCACATTCCCTAAAGATATTCAAATTAATTTGCCTTGAGAAATATCAGAAAGATACTTTTATGTCACCTTTTCTGGACAGAAATAGTAGAAGACCTTCTACGGTGCTTCTGTAATGATTGTGTAAAGCTGGGGCAGGTCCATGGAAAAATCAATATGATCCATGAGAATTCCTCTGTCATTTTCTTCTCTGTAGCCTAAGCAGCAGCAGCTCTTTAAGTGACATGTCTGTATCTTTCTATGATCACACTTCAGGATGATAATTTTTTTTTTTGCATTAAGAAAAAGGTCTTTCTTGATTACATGCTTATGAATTATTAAGCATAGTTAGTATTGACAATAATGTATGTAGTCTAGCAAGAATAAAAGGCAGAATAGATATGCAGGATAAAATGTATGGCTTACCTCATACATATCACATACTATTGATATTAGAAATATAATATTTAATTCATTGTAATGAATATGGTTTCTTAATAACCATCTGCCTTGTGATAAAGGATGAGTTACAGTAGAAGTCATCAAACCCAATTACAATAGCAGTCATCAAAACAGATTGGTTATTACAGTGTTATTCTTTGATAAAGTTCACCCATGTGTTATTACATTTTGAACATACAAACAAGCAAGTAAGAGTCTTTGCTATGCTTTTTCATCTTAATTATTCTTAAGATTGAAGATGATGTGAAGATGAAGTCAAGATTGGGTGAAGTCCTAGAAAATGCTTATTCTTCATTTGCATCAACTGGAATGAATTTAACATATGTAGATTTCCATGTACATTAACCTAGCCTTGGGTTTTCCGTGATTCAGAGGTCACAGTGTTGCTGTTTCACTACCGAGTTAAATGTCTGCCGTAGAGACAGATGTTCCTGGGAGAAGAAACAAAAGTTTGCCTCTGTTGTTAATTTCAGCATAGTTCTTTGAAGCCTGCTGAGCCAGTACCTAATTAAACTGCACATGGGCTCCGAACAAATGAAAAAGAAATACTGCTACTTTCAGATAACATTTAAGGTGACAATTTCTTCTCAAGTGAAATCTACTTGGGGAAATCAATTCACTGCTGAAGCAGAAACACTTTCCATAATACTTTATTATGTGAAGGCATTACTATAGCCCATGTACAGTATAGGAGAGTGCGTGCAGTTTGGAGATCTTGACTGTATCTAGTCACAGCCATGGGACAAGTGCTATTTCAGTCCTGTTTCTTTAATTTGAAGCCAGAACTATATTCCTTGTCTACAGTAATATTATTCTGATGGTGGTGTCTGATTGTGCTACACATAGAGCAGAAACGTCTTATGAAATGTTTGGAGACTGTAGACTACCGATTAGTTTTGGAATTGAAAATTCCTTAAGTATTCCTGCCTGACTGCTCTAATAACATCAGCTGTATTCATTTGTTCTGTTTTTGCATTAAGCCACACGCTTTGTGTCTTGGCTTTCTTATGCCAGAGCCTACCAGGAACACTGATGTTCCAAGTTCAGTTTCATATCTATAAACATGCATTAAAGTAACTAAAATATGCTTTGAGGGAAAGAGAGGGCAAGGGAAATGAGCTGTGCAGTTCCTAATGACCAGTACTAGACACTATTTTTTAAAGGTTTCTAGTCCTCTAGTAAGGTTAGTCAACTTTTCTCTCCACACCTGAAACATGTGTGGAGGGGTGTGTGATTCACTGTGTGTGGTAAGAAGCCTATGTCACAAATAGCCCTTGGTGTCTCACGAGAATGGTCCACGATGCTTTTATGATCCATAGGGATATACCCCTCTATTGATGTGCAATTCCACTAACATCAGCAGAGCTCCTCCTAGAGAGGACCACTGCACCCAGCTGCAGCTGCTTTGGAATGTCAAAGCCTTAAAAACAGAGCAAGTAGCAAGCAGCTCACCTAGCATAGCTCCTGGGAGAGCAGGAAAAAAAAGGAATTAAAAAAAGGGACAATTAAATATATGAAATAAAATGTCCATTTGGGATTGCAGGTAGTGGAGGAGAATGCTTTTCTCATCTCACGTTGTCTGCAAGATTGCAGCTTCTTTCTTGTTCCATAGTGGGATCAGCTCAAGAGCTGTTTGAGGCTGCTGCTGAGAAAACAAAACAAGTCTCCTGTTCTTAATAGGTGTTGCTTAGGCCACTCACCTGAGACAACCGATAAGCCATGTTCAGATCTCTACTCTAGGATGAAAATTTCAGTTTTCTGCCTATTTTGTGTTGATAAAAATTGACCATCCTGGAGTAAATAAGAATCATGCTTTCTCTTTGGACTTAATTGGAAAAATCTTGGCCACACAAGGGCTTTTTCTTGGAAAGCTTTGGCTTTCATGAAATCAACTTCAAAACCAAAAAGTCCTGAGTGACTTTTTGGGGTTTTGTTGTTTCTCAAAGTTGTTGCTCTGTCCCTAGAATGACCAGTCAAAAACCTGTGTCTCAGTATCCACTGACACTGGTATGGCTTTGAATCCAAACTGAGATCAAAATTACCACCATCAAGCTCTTTCTCCTACACTTTTTCTTATTAGAAGAGGAAGATCTTCCTTCCTTCAATGTTCCTTCCATATCCCATCTTTTCTCACCTTTTCCTTACTTCTGATCTCTGTCACTTCATTTTATTTGAATTTAAGAGTGTTCTATTATTTTTTAAGACTATTTTTAGAAGTCTGCTCATTTTGTCTGCACTTTCAGGTACAGAAGGCCATATGGGTACTGTGTGTGAATACTTAGGGGAATAATCCTTCTGCCTTTATTCTGACCTACTCTTTGGTAAACTGATCTCTGGGGGACCTGAAACATTGACTAAGTCAAAACAATTAACTGGAGCATTAATTGTCTTCTGATCTGTTTCTTTCAAAGTCAGACCAGAAGAGTCTCCACTGAGCAGTAATGTTTAACAGGGCCAAATTGAGAGGACTTACTATATGCCAATGGGAGCAAAGGAAGACTTGTGCTTAGAATGATGGATTGTTAATGTAGTGAGGTATGGCAAAAAAGATGACTTGCCATAGTATAAAAAATTTTTCTCCCAGATTGTTACCTCTTTTGTTCAAAATTTCAGTTAAGGAACAGAATGTAGGAGTCACTGTCACTTCCTGAGTCGTGCTTTAGATCAGAAACATTTGCTGAAGACATCTGCTTTGTGGAAGTCAAGTATACAGCATTTCTTAAGTCTGAGAAATGACTCATGGGAAAGCTATAGAAAATGGGTCAGTCTTTCTGAGCTCTGAATACCTGACTTCTCTACATTGCCAGATTGTTGAAAGTTTAGAGAAAACACAGGAATAAATTAGTTACTGGAAAAGGCTTAGGAGAAGGAAGTAGTTCTTCCAAGAGGATAGATGCACTTTATAAGCATGGCATATTATTTTCCTTTGGTGTGTTCCTCTCCTAAGGGGACTTATATAATGTAATTTAGTGAAGTTCACTGAATAAAGTCATGTTCCTTTATGTATTAAAGAACATTACGGTTTGGTAAGCAAACTTTTGTATCTGTGGTGATCCTTTTGCCTTAGCAGAGAGATGTGACAGATCCATTCCCCTCCATTGTCCCACTTACTTTGTTTTAAATTTCTGTTAAAAAAATACATATCTCTTAGCAGTTAGTTACCCTCTCTATAAAAAAAACCCTAATTTGTCAATGTCAAGTTTGTGTAAGGAGAAAAACCACCCATTTTTCTTAGCATCCTCAAACTATCTCATCCTTCATTTTTCAGCTCATTTGATAGCACCTTCTTGTATATAAAACCAAAAATCAGCAATTTTATCTGAATGCAAGTCTCTGGTGTCATTTTGACAACTACTAGATTGGTGTTATGTTCCTTCTCTATTTTTCTGGCTTATGTAGAATCAGAGAATAATACCAGGCTTATCTTTCAAAGCATGAAGCTATTTATAGCATGCAGAGATACTGTCTGTATGTTTCTTTTCAAGCCTATACAACAGAAATTGATTTTTCTTTTCTAACTAATACATTTTAGGACTTTAGCACAGAATAAACAGAAGAAGAGTAAGAAACAGAGCACAACTATAAACTGGTATTTGTTTTCTGAACTGCAGGTAATGGAACATTGATTGGAGCATCTGCAAACGTTGTTTGTGCAGGAATTGCTGAACAGCATGGTTATGGCTTCTCTTTCATGGAGTTTTTCAGGTACAATTTTAAACTTCTCACCTTAAATCTGTAATTTTTTTTTTTTTCTTTAGACAAACAATGGATCCTCCAAGGAGAAAATCTGGAGAAAGGGTCTATAAAAAAGACCTATGTTCCTAATTTGGTTTTGGCAACTGAAATGCAGGTCGAGGGCAGATCACTTTATTTTTGCCTACTGTGGATAGAATGCATGAAGGTGGCGGGAGCACAGTGGAACCCCAGGAGAAACAAAGCCTCAGAAATTCATGCTTTGGTCACCCTCAATCTTATCTTCAGCTCTGTAGGGATACTAAATTATTGCTCTGTTGTTAAATACAGCTTTAACATAGTTTCTTATCTGTACATTTTCATGGATGTTCCATCGCCAGGGGAAAGCGGGATGTCCCAGTGTAGACTGAGTAGAACTTTAGTCTGTGATCCCATGAGTAAACCTATTTATCTAAAAGTAATTACCTTTTGACCAGCTGCCTAGCAGCTATGAGTGAAAGTGTGATGAGCAGCTAGTAACAGCTGAAGTTGTTGTTTAATAATTGTTTAATTAATAATTAATAACTGTTGTTTAATAATGAAAGTTCCTCTGCAGGTCATTCATCAGCAGATTTTTAAGGGCCAAGGTGTACTTAATGCATACAGCAGTTTAATATTGTTCCAAACACCCCCAGTTTTTGACACTATGGTTGAAAGGTAAACGGAAACTGGCAAATACAGGACTAGACATGAAGTTAAATTGTAGTTGATTTAACTAAAACATAATTTCCTGCTTATTTTTCTGCATATTTAGGGTGAAGGATACTGTTAAGTTCACACAGATATTTTTTATCTTTTTTCTTTGCATTGTTTATTTTAGATTCTCAGCTCTATCAACTTTCCTTTATATTGTTTACCTCAAAGCCTTCAACCTGCTGTATTTAATATGATTAGTCACACGGGAGTATCTGGAGCAGAGCCAATGATAACTAAAAAGAAAGATGGTCTGAACTGTTCTTGCTAAAATTCTTGCTATGAGCATGTGCTGCTCATAGCACAGTTTTTCTCTTCACCCATAGTCATCTTTTAGAAACAGAATGCCTATTGATTCAAAGTCTTGGCTGTCAGGACCCTTGAGACTGCAATACAGTCTTATATAGTATGCAGTGATAGCTAACAGACTTCTTGGAAGTCAAGCCCTTGTACAAAAAGGATGGTGATACAGCAGTAATGGGCTTGTGGATTGTTCTGTTCATGTTTTGCAGATGCTCAGCTTGTCGTCTGGGGATTTAACTTGTATGTAGCATTAACAATGTCTCTTCTATGTAGATTTTGTAACAAAATGTTCTTAAAGCTTCCATGACACTGACTGAGTATCTAAGCAGAAATAAGCATGTAAAGCCTGACTAGTCTCTTCAGCAGTGTTCACTGGAATGTATTCTTTGGGAAGATTGAAGATGGTATGCAGATGTTCTGAAATTACCTTCTATACGTATGCTCTCAGTGGAAATAATTACTGGGGATGGCTGTAGCCGTTGTAAGCAAAGATGTAAGAACTGAATCCAGAGTGGTCACAGGAAGATAGCAATGGATATTAATTAGCAAAAAGAACATAAAAGACCACTTTTTCTGTCTTCTTCTCAATCACTGAGTGGGTAGATCATGAGCTCCTTCATAATTTGTCTTAGAAAAATATTTGTTTCAGTCAAATGTGCCCAAATTCAATATCTTCTGAGGCTTCTCCTGGCATTAAGAGGTATTACATGTATCCCTTGAGGATTTTGATCTTGTTTACTTTTATTTATGAAGGTTGTCTCAAAGCACAAAGAGATTTTTCTGCATTTCTTCCCTGTTTGTCCGAAATCACTCACTAGGTCTCACATCCCTATTCAGGGTCTTCTGTGGTGCTTCTACCAGTATAGACGCAGACTGTTACTCTCTCATCTTGCAAACCCCTGTCAGTCACTAGGGCAAAATCATGGATACCATGTGTGAGGAGATGATGGCCCTCTGCTGCCTGGCTTTTGTCCTTCTCAAGTGTTTCTGTGCAGGAAACTCATGACATGTCTGTCCCAGGTGGCATCTGGGGTCATACAGCACAGTACGCTACTTCCCATACACTTCCTCCCTACCTGCATGCTAAGCCAAAATTACACAACTATGTTTAAGGCCTTTGCTAGAAGCAGCTTTTTTGCAAACCATGTTTTGACATGGTGGTTTGACGAGGAACTCTGGGCAGGGTTGCTAAGCAGGTCTGGTGAGTACACCTTGACACAACAGGGGTGGAGAGGCTCTGGAAGCTGTGGGTGCCTGGTGGCAAGAGGCATCACGATGACTCTGTGTAGGGAGAGAAGGGAAAAGGTAAGAACCAGGTTCTGTGTCCTGTAAGAGCGCTGATGGGCTCATGACCATTCCCGTGTGCGTCTGCGCAATGGCACTTGGTGCCATTTGAGGTTCCTCTTCTCTTTTTTTAAGAGGGGAGCAGTGGCAGCCCAGCTGGTGTGTTGTACAATGCTATTCTGCTGCCTAGCCAGAGCCAGAGGTGGCCAGGTGTGATAACTTGCCTCAAATGCTGTGGTCTGACCAGCTTGACGTGCTTCTATCTGGAGTGCCTTCAGCAGAAGAAATCCTGTGCTGGGGGTTGTGTGCCTGAATGACCATGAATGCTATAGTCTGTCAGAAATCTAGCATCCTGGGGAAGGTCCCCCTTTGGGGCCACATCTAAGTGCTTCCTTCCCTGGATCAAGAGTTCTACCTTCCCAAGGACCTGAGGGCACTCATCTCCTTCCAGACTGCTGGACATGGCTGGATGCAAGGGCAAGACAGCCAGCCCTGGTGTCCCATCCTCACCACCCAAGGAACTCAGGCCCATAAGCTGGGAGTGCTGTGCCTGTAAGGAGGTCCCAGTAGAATGACACTTATGTGGGAAAGATTATACTGTGAAAGGAGGGAGAAAGGCATAGATCCTCCCTCCCTGTGTTGAAGCACCTTAATGCAGTGTGGTGTCCAGAGTACACTACTGGTTGAGGAGACACCAGGTCACAACCATACATGCCTGGCTGTGAGTGTGCTGGCCAATGTCACCAAGTGTCTTACCCAGAACGCATTCAAGTCTTGTTCCTTTCTCCCACATTACCTGTCAACGCATGTAGAAACCAGTTCTGTCTGAACAGTGCTCACAAGGGGAAGAGCAAGATTGCCTGTGAGAAAAGATCCCTCAGTTGCTATGAATTCAACTTGATGTTTCTGGCCCTTGTGAGCTTTTCTTGATACTTCATTATGTTCCACTGAAATAAAAAGATTCCCATGTCCCTTAGAATATACAAATACTGTAATAAACGTACTTTATCACCATGAAAATACTTTTACCTTTGAATCTGTTATACATGGTTGTAGGGCAACAAAAAGGGGCCTCTACTGGTATATCAGCAGCAAAAGGAAGACTAGGGGACATGTGAGCCTGCCACTGAATGGGGAAATGACCTGCTGACAGAGGACGTGGAGAAGGCAGAGGTTCTCAGCACTGCGATCAGCAGCACAAAGTCCAGGTGGAGGCCAGTCACTAGTGGCGCTCCTGATCCCCAGTGGTGCCTTCCAAGCTCAGCCATTCTGGGATTCAGCTTTTAACCAGCCCCAGGAATCTGAAGGCAAATGATGAATAACTGCCACTGGATGATTCATTTGGACTACCTCAAATTCCAAGGAAAGGGAGCAATGTTAAGAGAAAAAGAAAATTGAAAGTCCTAGGAAGATCAAGCTCAGAAGTAGCAATTTGCTTGAAGATGCTCTTGCATTTTGGAGTAGGTCCAGCCAAATTACACGCCTTTCCCACCTTAGAAACTTCCTCATCAAACTGTATTTATGTGTTTTAATCTTTCCTCCTGGAAAAATCTTATACATACCCTCATTTTTCATTATCCCTCTAGTAATTCAGAAGGCAGAGCTGAACACAATATTCCAGGCATAGTCCTGCTGTTAATCTAGGCCATTTCAAATTTCTGTTTCATTTACTATTCACTGTTAAATCCAAGTCTCTCTCAACTTTCATGTTACTTACTTGAGTGTGAGTATATCTATTCCTGTTCTGCCCCTGCCAAGTTCTTATACTTTTCCTGCATTGTGTTTCTAATTAACATATCATCAATGGGCAGAGATAAAAGGGAACTGGTATGCTATGTGATCTCATTAGTGAATTGGAGGATGGACACAAAGGCAAATATTTAAGTGGTAAAAATAGAAATAATTGTGAGTCGGTGGGATTTGGAAAAGGAGATAGAGAGAAGTAGGATGTTTGCTGTACATGGTCAAGGGTATAAACATCAAAGCAAACAAATGAGCATTATGCCTCTGGAGGGAAGAGCAATTTTTTTGGTAGTCTTGACCCTGTAGAAAACACCAGATGTGTTAATAATATGAAGGTAATTGCTCAGGGACAGCATATATGAGTAAGTAGAAGGCAGGGAAAGGTTAAATGCATGTTGTGATTTTTTGTCTAAGTTATCAGAGAAACATTAAATCATATATAAGAGCTTAATGTAAAGGAAAACCCTAAATATAAGACAGTACTATTGTATTATTTCTCTTGGCAAATGGTCAGATAAGGACAGTATAGTCTTGTTGACTGAAAGATTTCCAGAGTTTAACATAGTAATTTTATATCAATTAAGACTTCAGAATAATCAAGAGAGCTTTGTTTTTTTCAAGGAATAAGATAAAAGAAATAACATTGTAAATGCCTCTTGTAATCTAGATGCTTCACTTCACGTTAGTTTTTTAATTTTTACTAATATATGAGTGAGTTTGTTGCAATATAGCATTCCACTAGGTCAGTCCTCCCTATGGAATATGAAAATGACCCACAGAGATCTTTTTGTTACCAATGAAAAATTTGGTTCCATGTTCATACATAAGAAGTTCTCATTGCTGTAGGGGCTTTAATTATCTGTTTCCACTTGCTAACAAAATTGCCAGCTTGATTTTAATTTTCTCTTTAAGAGAGGCATTTATAACCTTGTAAACATACATAGTATTTC